TGATGTTACTCTTATAGGATGTTGGTGATTATGATGAATATGTTATTTACTTATATTGTTATATGAGGTGATGACTACTTATGTTACAAGTACATGAAGCAAGGCTTTACTTATGTTCTCCTATCTTATCTACTTTGTTTTGTGGGGTTATGGGGCTTCACATGACCATTGCACTTGTAGGTTGGGGATAAGGTCATTGGTAACTTTTTTGTATGTTGTGTCTATATGATCTATTGAATATAAAATGTTAACATGACTCTATGAGAATATGTCTTTGATTATGATCATGCTCTAACTTGTATATGTTATATGGTTTGTTCATTGAAGACTTTCATATGACTTAGCATGTTTTCTAAAGAGATGATAAATGATCCTTTTTCATGCATGTACTTAATTGTTATGTGCATATACCCATACTTAGTACATGTGACGTACTAACCCCATTAATTTATATTGTTACAACTATAGGTTCCGGCCATTGAAGTTAAAGAGGTCGATTTGAAGAAGCTTGGAACTCTTTCTCCAAGTCTCGGTAGGTCCTCAAGTTCGGAATGATACCATTTCCTTTTCCAGCTTTATGAAGACATTAGTATAATTTTATGAATATTAGATTTCCATTTATTTTCTTTGGATTCCTTTGTATTAAGGCCTATATGGTATATTGATTGTTTTTCTCTATGTTTAGATTTGCAGTCTTAGATGGTTTCTATATATCTGAGACAGTTTTAGAATATCATATGTCTTTATGAATCTTAAGTATGAAGTCTAATTATACTTCATTGGTATGTTAAATTTTTTAAATTTTTCTGCAAATTTTATTGATCTTATGTGATGAATGCTAAGGGCTTGTCTGAGTCCTCTAAGAGAACGATGACGACAGTCTTATCAGGGGTATGCTCTCTGGGTGTAATAGTTAGGTGTAATTTAAGGTCACTATTATTATTGGGAGGTTGTTCCTTGCCACTCTTCGTGCCTTGGCTGGTATGGAGAAAAGGAAGACGAAGTTAGGTTGAACAATGAGGAATCAACATTCAACATTTGTAGGTCCATGAAGCAGAGTGGTGAGCTTCAAAATGTATCTGCCATATCCTATAGGGTTGAGAGTACGTCATAGGTACAAATCGAAGAGCACCTAGGTGTTGAGGAACTAGCGGCAGTGATAATAAATTTTGAGAGTGATGGTATTGAAGATTATGGGTCTTTTGTTGCGACAATTGAACGAAACAAACATTGGTCCAAATAAAAGAAATTGTAGTTAGATATGAAGCATCACGAGTCTCCACCCATGATACCATCTATTGAGAAGGCTCCGAAATTAGAGCTTGAGACTCTACCACCTCATTTGAGGTATGTATTATTAGGTAGAGATGTCACTAAGCCGGTAATGATTGCATCATATTAGAATCTTCAACAAGTAGAGTGTCTGGTGAAAGTTTTGAAAAGGTTCAAGCGATTCATTGGTTGGACTATTGCAGACATTTTTGGTATCCCTCCCGGTATTAGTTCACATTAGACTAAGCCATTTGAGGTAATGTGTGATGATATATGGGTTGCTCTTGTTGTGGTGTTGGGACAGAGAAGGGATAAAATCCTTCACCCCATCTATTATGCAAGTAAGTTCCTCAATGAAGCACAAAAGAACTACACTGTGACTGAACAAGAGCTTCTTACAGTGGTATTTACGTTCAAAAATTTTTGCTCCTATTTGGTTGGCACGAGAGTCATAGTGCATACTGAGCACTCCGCTTTGAGATACTTGATGGAAAAGAAGGATGTGAATCCAAGGTTTATTAGATGGGTGCTATTATTTCAAGAGTTTTATTTTGAGGTAAAAGATAAAAAAGGGACTAAAAATATAGTTGACGATCACTTGTCCGATTGGAGGATGAAGATATGCGAGAATTGGGTAAAAAGATTTAAATTGATGACACTTTCCCTGATGAGCTGTATTGGCTGCTTCTCATGACTTAATGCAATGGTTCACCGATTTTGTGAATTATCTAGTCAGTGATATAGTCCCATCGGACTTTTCCTTCCATCAGAGGAAGAAGTTCATTCATGATGTGTAAAAGTTCTTTTGGGATGAGACTTACTTATACCAGAGTTGAGCTAATGGGGTTATTCGCTGTTAAGTTCTAGAAATTAAGATGTTAAGTGTTTTGAAGGAATCTACTCATCGCATGTGGGTGGGCACCATAGTGGTATTCGGACTGCCCACAAGATTCTTCAGTGTCGGTACTAATATCCAACCATTAAAAAATATGCTCACGAGTTCTCCAAGTCACGTGATAGGTGTGAAAGAGATGGAGGAATTTTGAAGAGGCAAGAGCTCCCTTCAAATCCCATTCTAGTGATTGAATTATTTTGTAACACCCCGTAGCTAAAAATGGACAAAAAATAAGTTTTTCCAAAAAAATTGCATGTGCTACCAACGGTGGCATAACGGACCGTAGCCTTAACCATGGTCTGTCCTGCACAACCGTCGATGGGATCAGTAACTTCCAAAAATTTCAGCCCAGAAAAATTGTTTAACTCTTGGACGACGGATGGACTTACGGTCCATAGGTCCGACGACGGTTTGTAGTCCGTGACCATCGATAAATACTCCCTTCACCCACTCTTTAACAAGATCTAGGGATGACCAACACGGTCCGTAGGTGGAAAATTTGTAGACAGTTAAGGGGAAATGCAATTGGGTCAACTTTAAATGATCATAACTCTTAGCACAAAATGAATTAGGTTTCCCATGACTTACCCACATATAGATATATGAATTATATTTCCATAGACAGCGACCTTGATAAAAAAGATCTCCGAATAAAAGGTTATCCCCATTTTAGTAAAGTCTTGTGGAATAGGCCCTAATGACGGACCCAACGACGGGGCGTCACGTATACAACAGACCGTCAGTGCTGATCATTGTTTGGTCAAACAACAACCTTCCCATGGTTCTTTTGGACCTTTCCCACTCTGTTTAAACCCTAAGTTACGTTGTTTTGACCGTAAATCATCATTTTAGTCAGTTTAAGCCTAGAATTATAATTAAAACATATCTAAGTCAAATTATTAAATCAAAAGTTAGAAAACTAGAAGCAAGAAAGGAAAAAAGCTCAAGAACCCTAGTTCAAGAACGAAACAAGTGCCCGGCAGTTCCAGCCATAAAAATTAAGTATTTTTCTGTGGATTTCATCACCAGGTATGTTGGATTTCACTAATGGATTCCTTTTACCCATTGGGTCCCTAATTTTAAGAAAGATTCTTGATTCCCATATCATAATTAAACCTAGCGTTTTTAGAACTTTAATAGAACTTCATGAATTTGTTAAATTATGTTCCAAATTAAATTATCATATTAAAACTCAGATTTTCGCATGAATTTCAAAAACCTAGATTTGTATTTCTTTAGTTCTTGAATTACACATGCTAGGTCAGATATTTCCAACACTTTTGATATACATGCCTCAGTTATATATGCATAATTACCAGATTAATTGTTTCATTCTCTGTTTAAATGTTCAGTGTTGAGCTATCCAGTATTTTACAGAAACTCGAACAAAGTCAATTAATTTAAAGAATTCATGGGAGTAGCATAATATCGAGTTGGACTAGGGTTCAGCGTACCCAATTAGTCCTAAAACTACTAGCCAAGTAGGTTGTAAGTCCCTTTTGTGGGCAATAAGCTTAGTGATCACGCCAGCATGCCTTTATACATTTCGCAGGGTATATTGGGTCCTCGTGATGGGGCGTATACATAGGACTCCATATTTAGCTCATGTGGTTTTATTATCGGTTATTTGTCGCTCCCACAGATCAGTCAAACTCTCTGTATTGACCATTTAAAAGTATATTAAGTATTTTGTTTCAACATGTTATAAATTGGTCATTGCATTCAGTTAGCTCAGAAATTTAGTATATTATGTTCAGATTATTATACTTGTTGTGTATGTTCAGCTATGTCTTATTTTAGCTTTACTCAATCCTACATGCTCATTACCTTTCAAGTACTGACGCATACGTGCCTAACATCTTCTCGTGATGTATGTTTAGGTTCTTAGCATCTAGATTACACATAGATCGATTTCTGATCTCCTGTTCAGCAGATTCAGTCGTGAGTCCTCATTCTCCGAGGACAACAATCATGAGTTTAATTTCAGTCTTCAGTTATTTAGTTTTAGTTTTGCTAGATATAGCTGGGGCTTGTCCTAGCATTTCTAGTCTAGTTTAGAGGCTTATTTTAGACATAGTTATATTCCGCTTAGTATTGTGTTAATATTTCCTTTATATTAAACTCATTGTTTTCAAATATCTAATTTATAAAATATGGGTTGTCCTCATTTTTTTAGATTTAATTATTATTTAGATTTTGCACCAGTTTATTATCTTTAGTATGCTCATGATCATGCAAAGAAGGTTAGCTTAGGATCACTTGTGGTTCTAAGTTTCGTGTCCGCATCTCAGAAGTAGCTAGGAGTGTGACATATTTGATGTATGGGGTATTGATTTTATGGGCCCGTTTGTGAGTTCCCATGGGATAAAATATATACTTATGGTGGTGGAGTAGATGTCAAAGTGGGTGTAAGATATAACACTTTCCAATAATGAAGGAAAGAATGTCACCACATTCTTAAAAAAGAACCTCTTCTCCAGATTTGGCACACCTAGGGCCATCATTAGTGATGGGGGATCTCACTTTTGCAATAAGTTGTTTAAAGACATATTGGAGAAATATGGGGTTCACCATAATGTGGCCACTCCATAAAATTCACAGACTTGTGGGCAAGTTGGGGTGTCTTATTGACAAATAAGGAAAATTTGATCAAAAACGGTAAATGCTAATAGAACGGATTGGCCAAGGAGGCTCGGTAATGCTATTTTGGCCCACAGGAGTGTGTACAAGACCCCCATAGGTATGTCTCCATACAAACCTGTACATGGGAATGCTTGTCACTTGCTACTTGAGTTAAAAGCACAAAGTCATGTGGGTAATAGAGAAATTGAAGATGGATTGTAATAAAGCAGTGGAACAAAGACTTAATGGGTTGAATGATCTTGATGAGTTTCGCCTAAAAGCTTATGAAAGTTCAAACATCTACAAAGAGAAGATGAAGAAGTACCACGACCTAAAGGTTGAAAAGCGAGAATTTTCAGTTCGGCACTTGGTTCTTCTATTTAACTCTAAGCTACGTTTGTTTTCGGTAAAATTCAAGTCAAAGTGGACGGGATCATTTCTCATCACTTATGTGTTTTCACATAGAGCCGTTGAGTTAGAGAACAAAGAGGGTGCAAAGTTCAGTGTCAACGAGCAACAAATTAAGATCTACCTAGGGCATGCAGAGAGTGTCCATGAAGTTGTTGAGGCGTATTAAAATCTGAGTAATCAAGGATCTTGCGTCGTGTCGCGATGTTAAATAAAACGCTTCTTCAAAGGAATAGTTGCATTGTCTTGTTTCATTTTGTTTTACCCATCCTCATGCTTTATTTTTTAAGTGTTATCTAGATATTAGTTTAGGGTCCGTGTTTCAAAAGAGCCCATAAAAACACAAATATAATAGCTTAGTGGGTGGTCATTGTGCAAGGACCAAAACCAAGATTTTTGCAGAAAATGGTCTGTTGCATAGATCTACGGATCCCGTCAATGGGCCATCGTTCCATCGACTTACCGTCAATGGTGTCCTCCGTCCCATGTATGTCTTGAAATTTTGCCTATGTATTTTTGAAATCGACAGTCCAGTCGACGATCCATCGACTGACTTATAAACCGTTAATAGGGTTTTTTAATTCCAAAGATCAAGTGACCCGACCCGACCTGTTTTATTAAAAGAAAAACCATTCATTAGACTCCAAAAAATTTTCAAATTCTTTTCCCAACTGTTTCCCTCCCCTTATTTCCTTCCTATCTTATCACAACGCCATATCTCTCCCTTTCAAATCCATTAGATTCGCCGAAACTCTAAAATTATCCCCAATTCCCAAAATTCTCATCTTCCCAAATTCTACATGGTTCCTATTGCTTTCTCGGATTGCTATTCAAAGGTGGTAATGTAGGTTTTTGCAAATATCACCCACCTATTCAGACCAGTACGATCTTCAGGTATTTTGATTCCCTTTGCTTGATGAATTACCATTTATTTAATGTTGGAAAGGAAGCTTAAAATGTAGGTCTTGACTTAGGGACAAAATTGTATGTTTGTGCTTGTCAAAACTTGGGTAAAATGTCCCTTAGAATGATAGAAAGTGAATGGGTAGTGGTGTAATATGTAAAATGACTTTATAAACTTTTTGACGTAGGGTTCGGTAACATCTTTTAATCTTTGAATGAACCTTGCAAAATTGAAACCCTAAGGAGGAAGAAATGGTCTTTTAATTGTTGTTATGTGTTGGGTAAACTTATGAAGGTCTAAAAGGTGTCAAAATGTGATAATAGAAAAAAGGGCTGAAATCAGTCTTTGGCCATTAACACGAGACCCCGTCGACGGACCATCAATTAATAAATGGGTCATCGATGGGGTCCGTCGATTGGGAAACATTAAAATTGTTTAACACTAAAACAAGGCAGGTGGACTATGGTCTGTCAACTGATTGACACACCATTTTGCACGTCCGTCATTTCCAATTGAGAGCTTATCTTGAGAGAGTTAAGAATCATTATATGTGTAAGACGACGAAAGTGGACTACGGTTCGTCAATTGATTGATTGGATGTTTTGCACTACTGTCGTTTAGAACTAAGAGGTTTTTAGAATGAAAAATCTAAAAAATTTCCTAAGTGTCCAATAACATACACTATCGGTGGACCGTCTATTAATTGATGGGTTGTCGATAGTGTCTATCAACCACTACTGCAGGTCAGAGCTTGGTTGTAAGTCCGCCACCGCCTATCTCCAACGGCTGGAGATAACATTTTTACATAGGATAAAGCAATTTTGGTAGCAGCCTTGGTGGTCAGCTTGGAGATTGACTATGCAAAATAATTTATCTAAGTGATACATGAGGGGGATTTTAAGACCCATACTACTTATGCATTCACATGTATGATCTTCCACTTATGCAGGGATGCTGAAGTCCCTTTGGCACTGTGATGCCCTCCGTACTTCGGCCAGGACTATTGTATAGGTCTCATCAGGGATGAGGCCAATGTGGCAGCACCGCAGAGAGGGCCTAGAGTTGAGTTGCAGCCGCTGAGTGAGAATTTGGTGGATACGGTAAAGTTATCCCAAGGGGCTAATCCTGCCACTTCAGAGTCCACTGATACCACCCCCAGAGTCCGCCCATGGCACTAGTAGAGCACCTTGTTCCTCCTGATCTAATCTACCGTCTACAGAACTAGTTCTGATAGCAAGGGTCCAGAAGTTAGAGGCCCAGATGTCCACCCTGCTACATCATATCCATCCTTGGATACATAAATCCATTGCTGAGGCTGAGGACCGGATTGAGAAGAAGGTGGACCAGCAGACTGATCAAAAAATTCAGGCGGTTAACCATCCCCTTTATATATTTGAGCTGCGGGTTCTTGCACGCCTAGACCCTACCATTGACTCACTACTCTTCAGGAAGATTTGGGGAGTTTGCGGCAGATGTTGACTCCATCTAGAAGATAAGCGGGCCTTAGCTGGAGACTGCACCCATCGAGCTAGTAGTAGACGCGTTGCTCATTTCACTATTTACAACCCTATTGTACAATCGCCTAAGCCACGTGTTCGTGCCGAGAGGCACCATCTAGCAGCACCACTAACGGAGAGGATGCCAGTGCAAGGAAAGAGCGGACAAACCTTGAGGCTGCGAGGAGAGCCTTTTTAATTGATTAGGAGACCCATCATATGAGGGCTCGAGAATTGATTTCAAGGGCGTCTAGTTCCAGACCCGAGGCTGTTTTGATGAGAGCCACTGAGGGTGCAGAAATTGTTGTGGGCACCACTAAGGATGACACTAATATTGAGGTTGCGGGTTCTGGGAAACCGGACCCGCCTGATTGTTGATCATCTTCATTATGCGCCTTAGGTTTGCTTCACCTACCACCCATTGATTATAATTCTTATTCATTGGAGACAAGTGCATGTTTTTTTTGTTGGAGTGGGGTAATTGGAAAGTGAGTGTTAGGGTGAAGTATGAGTAGCCCAACTCACGGTACTCTCTTCGTGGTTTTCTTGCCTGTGTTCTTTTCCCCCGAGAGAATGATTATGTTATTGTTAAACCGACATGTCATAACTTGTACAAGGTATGAAAGCATGAAATATGAAGCATGATGGATAAGCATGAATAATATCCTGTGCTAAGAAAATGCTTGCATGAATAGGTATAAAGAAGTTGAATGTGTTGGCTCTAATCATGATATAGAGATGCACCCACTGCATGGCCCTCAAACAAACACTAAAACTAGGTGTCTGACAATCTGATAGGGTAATGAGGTGTCAAGAGAGTGGGAGGAAGTTTGATTGTTCCACTATTGGTACCTAACTAGAACTTGTCCGGTTGGTCCTGCAAAAGCAATCTGTGTTAGATGACTAGGAAAGGATCATAGGACCTTGTTCGAATTAGCAAACATCTAGCCTAAAATAATGTGAATCAAATGACATTGTTATTCCTTTTTAATCCAAATCTGTTGAGCCTATAATAGACCTTTCTTTCCTTCCCCAACTCACCTTCCCTGGGTATAATGTGTTGGCCCTGGTCCCGCCTTGGACATGTGCACCTGAAGTTAGGTCAAAGGCATAAGTTGAGAGTGGTTAATGCAGAAATTGACCTCGTCTTGGGCCTGACCCATCCTTGGGCAATGTGTACCTCGACTCATGGAAAAATCATAAGTTGAGGGTGGCTATCATGAGTGATGACCCAAAAAGTGGGTATGAAAAGAGTATTGTGGAAAGGAAAAGAAAAAGTGATCAAGAGAGTTGACTCATTCAAAATTCTCAATTGAATGAAAGAAAGAAAAATAAATAAATAAATAAATAAGAGAGGAAATAAAGAGAAAAGAAAGAAAATGAGTTGAACAAAAAGAAGTAAGAGTCACTTCCACAAAGAATGGGGGGGGGGGAGAAAAGTAGCGCATAAGAGATAATGAGAGAGGTAGGTCGCTTAGCCGTAGTGTCAAGGAGGGCAAAAAGTCACTAAAATGTACCATATGTACCATACCTGACCCTCATCTATGTTACATGTCAAGAAAGTCCTATCGTAATCTATAGTCTAATGTGGTGAACTTAAGTAGTGAAAATAAGGGCAAGCCTATGGCGACAAGTACTAACTAGGTGTGAATTTGTATTGAGAGTGAGTGTTGAATAATCATCCTTATACCCAAAGTTAAAATCATTGTCCAAAAACAGATGATTTTCTTAAGTGAGGGCACTAGTTGTAATATCGGAAAGTTGGAACATTGGCGAGTGGCAAAAGAGTAGAGGTGTCGGTGCATAGTGAGTTTATGTGATGGTTTGATCCACATGAGTTAGCTTATCGATCCTAAGAGTAGAATCATGCACTAAAGCAAAGAAAAAGTTGGGATTGATAGCCATGTGATTGTGAAAGCTTTAAAAAAGATACTTTTGTACAAAGTGTTGTATTGAGTCATAGTGTGCCGCTTCAGGACAAACAACTAATAAGTTGAGGGTGTTGATGTACCGTGCTTTAACGGTACTTTCAATACTCTTTCCTTAATATTCATGTGTGTCTAGCGACTTCTTGTAGTAGTTTGAACATGTTTTTATCTTTGTTTTGCAGGAAACATGTGCAAACCTAAAGAGTAAAAGGAAGTTGAGATTTAGTGCAGAGGTGACCCACAAAAGCCATTGACGGTCCATCGATCCATCAACGGATAATAGATGGTGATCTTCGACTGATAGTTCAGGTATTTGGAGAAACTCGGGGAAATCTAACAAAGTGTGGGGTTACGAAAGGATCGACAATCGATAGACCGTCCTATTGAATCGTTGTTAAGTTCACAGATAGTCCCAGTACCCCAAGTTGAGGAATGTGTAAGTATGGAATAATGAAAGGCATACACAAATCGAATACGCATTAATGAACTACATTGTTGGTCCGTCGATTAATTCAGAGAAGATGCAAGGTGAAGGATAAAAAAAATGTTAAGTCTAGACTGACGAAGGTAGTCGACGTTCCATCGTTTCATCGACGGACCGTCACTGGGGCCATCAATTACAACCGTATTTTTGGACAACTTTATTTATTTTAATTCCTTTTAATTATGGACAATGTTTTCTATAAATAGGGTGTAAAACCTCGTTTTTCGGGTAGGATTCTCTTACAATTGTTCTTACTTTGTTTTTGGAGATTGGGTTTTGCAGCTTTAGAATTAATTCAAAATTCCAAATTTTCTATCCAAGTCATTTCTTGTTATTTCAAGATGAATTTCTGGATTT